CTCTTACGAAAAAAAAACTAAGACAAAGATCTCCCATATAGCCTTAACAGACTGTTGGGGAAAGTGCTGTTAGCGAGCACCTATGAAGGCCGGCACAGCACGCGAGCGGGTGGGAGGCCAGCACCACGCCCGACCACCTTTGTCTCCCCAGTGGCGATGTGCACACACCATACCAGGTACTCATTTGAGGCCGAGTCGACCTAGGAGAGGCCCAGGACCGGTTCAGATAATCGTCACTGGTGTCTGCCGTGAGCGAGAATCGAACTCGGATCGCCGGGTTCGTAGCGTAGCGCGCTAACTGCTGCACCACCACTCACCACATACTATCACAGATACACCCACACCTTTTCTCACATACACAAGCTAAAGACTCTTGTTCATGCACGACTCTCCGGGGCCCTCCTCTAGGAGAGTTTGTATTTGGAGAGGAAATCGGAGTGCCCAGGGAAATCTAACACGTACAGAGGGGGGGGGCAGTAACATTCAAAGCTCCGCACGTATGGATTCAACAATCTTTGTGCTGCACAGTCAGCTCCTGATCTCCTCACATTCGAGGCCCACGTCACCTGGTATTCCCCCCAGAAGTTCATATCCACCTCCGATTGGCACGGTTGACTACTACGCTGCGATAAAAGTTCAATATACATCGTACATACATCCACATACCGACGACCAGCCTCAAAACCCTGCTTAGCTCCCAAACTCTGACAAGGTTGGGCACATTCATAGTTGATTTTGTCCCAGACTGCACAACTCCTGATCTGGAGTGAGATGCACATTCGTGGAGAAAGTATAATACAAACATTTTAATCGGTTATATACAATTCTCCAATTCTTTCTGATCAAACAACGTGCATTGTGGAAGGGTGAAAACCGAAATTGGAATCGCAGTGTACGTGGCCGTCGTGTCCCCCCCCCCACCTCACTAAAACAAAGTCAGCAAACAAGGAAGACAAGCTAATGTTCTCTCCGCCAACCAAAACAAACACCGCGCTTCCTTTCAACTTATTTTTATAAGGCTCCCTGTCGATCACTCAAGCGGAATATATCTCTCTTGCTCAATGTGCCCGTGCACAAAGTCGCACGTGCATATCCACCGAGGTTTAATATTGTACTTAACAACGCTGTTTGGGCCCTCCCAGGGAAAGCCTCGGCGAGTCTCATGGCTATTTAAAAGGAGAGTCCCTGCGCTGGGGATGTTTGGCCAAAGGTCCTATTGGTTGCCGATGACATGTCACGGGTTGAGGTCGCTCACACCTCAACGACTCTCTTGCGTATCCTGCGTGTGTCACCACCAACATTTTTCGGCATTTAAAAAAAAAGCAAACAAAATATAATTTCCAACTCGCAACTCGAGAAACGACAAATGGGAGCAGAGTTTAGCAAATTAAAAAAAGCCACGGACGGGGATTAGCCTCGTAAACATTTTCAGTCCTGGCTTATTTTAACTAGGTCATAGGTTGTACATAAGTCATCACCGTTTGCATAGATCCCTGCCCGATTCCCTCCGGGTCAGATTGAGTGCTCGCTTGTCTTTGTACAATGATCATTACTCCAGTCAGCGCTGTAGCCGACAGAGCCACACAGAGGGCTAAAAGCGAATTGAACACTGAGGGCCATCGTGACCAGTACGAGTCATCATTGGATTTTGGGCTAAATCGCGTGTGTCGCAATCCTGACAAACGCTGCTTCTAACTACCAGCGAAACGTCGTTCCCAATCGTTAGCAGCTCGTCGATGGCTCTCCAATACCACCGCATGTGCTGCTGCCGAAGCAGCAGTAAAGGGCCACGTTGGTTCACCGCGTGGCGACATTCATTGGCCGCGTCGGGTGGCGGAGGGCTTCACCACACACCACATTTTTATTTAAGCTGATCGGACTCGGACATCAATTACGAATCAGGCACATGTGAAAGCTTCTTAAAACGTGCTCTCTTGTCGCTGAAAAACCTCGCTTAACACCGTAATGGATGCACTCTGCCAGCAACCAACTCCCTTTGTGCTTCAAGCCGAAAGTTTTAGGTTCCATTATGTTTAAATGTTTAAAAAGGCGAGAAATCAAGGGACACAGGGCGAGTGCCATTTTTGCAAGCGTGACTCGGGTCACCGAATGACAACGGCAAAAAAACGAAATGTAACAAATCTAGAAATGGGAACTAAAACAACTTCCATCACGTGGGAAATCAAAACTCGTATTGCGCTTCACGTCACTCGGGCTCGGCGCGTTGAAGAGGCACCGATGCAGGTTTGCACGTGGGCTTTTAGCCAACCCGCCGTGAATCATTAGAACGCAAGAGCCATCGGAGGAACTATTCATTTCCTTAAAAAAGTTTCCACCAAACCGAATGTGAAAATGGGATTGGCGAGAAAATCTCGTCGGAGAAATTCGGTCAAACGATTTTTTTTCTTCCCTTCAAAGTACCTTTGGCTACAAACACGCAGTGTGGATATATTTATTTAAAACATAAGTTAAGGCTCAACTGGCTGCGTGACTTACAGCGAAGAGATTTTTTTTTTTAGAATGTATTTACATGAATTGGTGAGTGCAGTCATGCCTACAAAGCTGCTGCTCGCAAGCTAGAAGACGTAAACAAATTACTGAGCCATTTCTTTCTCAAGTTATGTAAAATCCAACGTGAAAATAAACGCACGGAGACATCGAGCGAGCGAGAGAGACAGAGACTCGGGGTGCGTTGAATGGAAGGCGCGAGCTTGTGGGCAAGGCTTGCCCCGAGTCAAAAACCGCACCCTTGCAATAACTCGTTTGACCACATTGTACAGAGGCAATCACCCTCGCCCCAAACACCCCCACACACCCTCCTCCTCCACACACCCACCAAGTCCAGCCTCAACACTACGAGCAAGCCATCCCCCGAGAGGCACGCACACCGCAACAGCACGGGATGACACACCAAATACAAAGATGCTACCCCCCCGTGTAGCCTGAACAGACTGTTGGGGCAAGTGCTGTTAGCGAGCAGCACCTATGAAGGCCTGCACTGCACACGATGGGATGGGGTGGCCAGCTACACGCCCGTCCGCCTTTGTCTCCCCAGTGGCGATGTTTACACACCGCACCAGGTACTCATTTGAGGCTGAGTCGACCTAGGGGAGGAGGCCCAGGACAAATTCAGATAAGCTTCACTTGTATTGGCCATGAGCGGGAATCGAACTCGGGTCGCCAGGTTTGTGTGTTAATCACGACACTGCCCCTCCCTGACACACCTTGCACGCACGCACACTCTCTGCACACACTCACCGCCCGCCTGCACGAGCGTGCACACACAGACACTCTCTGCATGCACGCACGCACACACCCTGCCCCAGTACATACAAACAGCCTCCCTGTATGTCCGCACGAAAGCACACACACACACTCACCCCGTCTAATAGACTGCGAGGGCAAGTGCTGATCAGCGAGCACCTATTAAAACGTGGTCGTGGTTACAACACCACGAATGCACGCCTGGCCACCTTTTTGTCTCGGCAGCACAGGTAGTCTATCGCGTAACCTACTCGCTGTGCCGCACTGCCCTTGCCTACTCCGGCAGGTTCGGCCCCCCTAAATGCCTCGGGAGCGATGAGAAGAAGTGACCCGGATCTTTTGATTGGCAGACAGGAAAGGCAGAGCCGTGGGGAGCGAGGATCTCTGGAATTGAAGTTGACAAGTTGTGATTCGGAAAAACACGAGCAACTCTGTGCCCGTGGCACACACACACCCCACGGGAAGGGGAGTAGCGTTAAGGATGCAACGCGTGGAAAGAGTCAATTGGAGTGAGAAGAAAACACAATGCAAAATAACAGGAGGAGGAACGGAGAAATGGGAGCAAAGGTTCGGGAAAGGTGAGGTTTGGGGAGAAAGAGACTACATGAGGGCCTCAATGCTGCTACTGCTGCTACTGCTGCTGCTACTACTACTGCTGCTGCTGCGGCAGAGTCTGTTCTCACAGTGGGCGGTGACAAGGAAAGAGGATGAGTTCAGAGTAGGCGTGGCCACACACGAGTCTCGTGATTTGTGGGAGGGGCTTGAGCTGATTTACATATTTTTGAAAGACATTTCAGCATCTGCATTCTTAGAGTGAGGTTACATTTTGCATTTTTAAATATGCATGCAAATAAGCTTTGGTTAAAAATAAATAATTTCGATCGTATTCCAACTGTGCCGTTGGCACTGTAAGATGAAGGTTGCATTCAGAACACTCATTGTGAGCAGTGCATCACCCTGCGTTTGGAACAGCTATTGGAAGGAAACATCACTGAACTGTTTCTATACATTATTTGTATTTTACCGGGTAAGCCCCATGGAGCTATACAACTCTTTTTCAGAAGTGACCCGGTTACAAATGATAATTCAACGATTTATTTTATTTTATTTCTATTATTACTTTATTTAATTTAAATTTTATTTTTTACCTACGTGACTTTACCGAAAAAACCTAAGAGTATTCAACGAAGTGGCTTATCACGTGAACATTTATAGCACCCAAATACTCTAAACACATGTTTCTGAATGTGGAAGGGAAATACCGGAGAACCCGGAGAAAAATTCACGCGACCACGGGGAGAACATGTAAACTCCAAATAAACAGCAGGCGTCAGGGTCGGGATCGGACCCACGACCTCCTGTATACCAGGCGAAGTAGTTAACATCTCGCACTAACAGATACTGCACTCTACCACGGACCCTGCGACAGAAATGTTCACGGTCAATAAACCGAACATTAGCATCTTCAGAAGCGATAAAACAACGACCACTTTGGTGAAAGTCAACATTGGTTGTCTCAATAGAATTGACTTCCCCGTCATAGGAATGTGGAGTTTCCAACCACTGGCTCTAAACGGGAGCAGAGCACCAACGCCTCAACGTTCATTTGAGTGGGAAAATCGCTCCGACAGACTTTTTGCCACGGGGGAGACTTGGGGTAAGGATGGCATCAGTGTCTTTGTGTGTGACCCCTTGACCTTGTGACCGACCCAACAAACGCTTGACCCTTGCCTCACCTTGGCCTCCTCGTTCACGTCCCAGGTGAAGGAGATGGCATTGTATGCAATCTCCTCGATGTTGCTGATGGTGTTGAAGCTCTCCTTGTAGTCAGCTGTTGGATGCACAAAGACAAAGACACAGGCACACAATTAAAGACACACATACGCACGTAGCAACACACGGTGGGTGAGCTATTAACTACCTCGCCTGGTATACAGGAAGTTGTGGGTTCGATCCCGACCCTGACGCCTTTACATTTGGAGTGTGCGTGTTCTCCACGTGGTCGTGTGGATTATTCACCGGGTCCTCCGGTTTTTCCCTCCACATTTAGATTCAACAACACGCGTTTAGAGGATTTGGCTACTATACATTTCCACATGATAAGCCACTTCTTAGAGCTATCACTGCGACCAGGTCACTTCTGAAAAAGAGCCATGTCGCTCAGTGGGCCTTACCTGGTAAAATAAAAAGAATAGTTTAGCCGTTTAACATTTTCAAAATACCGTGATCCCCGTTGGGGCAAATGCTGTTCGTGAGCACCTATGAAGGCCGAAACAGCATACAAGGGGGTGGGGGGGTGGCCAGCACCCTGCCCGGCTACCTTTGTCTTCCCAGTGTTGATGTTTACACACCAGGTACTTGTTAAAGGCTGAGTCAACCTAGGGGAGGCCCAGGACCAATTTAGATATTCGTCGCTGGTGTTGGCCGTGACCGGGAATTGAACTCAGGACGCCGGGTTCGTAGCGCAGTGCGCCGACCACTACACTGCTGCTCCCCACGACATGAACACTCACACATGTACAAGTAGACACACACACACACAAACACACTGGACGTTGACATTTGAATCAACGAAACGCAAGTCAACACAGGTTACTCAATTAACGGGTGACTTTGCGAATTATCTGGTCAAATAATTAGGTATCTTAGCACAGTACTGACCAATGTAATTAGACAGCCAGATACAGCACAGGTCTGTAGAACTAGTATACCCAAGTAAACTTTCAATGAACCACATGATTAGATGTCGTGGAAGATAACCCAGACAGCCAAACACTGTTGCCAGATTAAAAACAAGGCGTGTATTTTCATGCAGTCAGACATACCGACAGGACGTGGAGTAAGACAGTCAGCCACGAGTGAACCCATTAGTAAGATGCCCTCATGAGGTGGCGATCATGGGGTTTTTTAAACCCAACAACCAGATTCGCCTAACAGCCAGATTGACTAACGCTACCGCCTGCCAAACGGCCTCACAGATCTCCCAACATGTTAAACCAGCCAGCGAGAATAACGCACTGATCCGTAGGCATAGAATGATGATGATGCATCTGTTCGTTCATCGATTAAATTCTATTCTGACGCTCTTGATACGTGCATTGAATTGTCCTGTGAAGGATCTATTACCAAGTCGACAAATTATAGGAACATTTATATCCAGGCGAGTAGAGGGGAAGCGTACTGGACGAGCAAGAAATAAATGGACAATACAAACGGGGCAGCACTAACGAGATGAAAGAAGTGAATTGGACTTGCAACCCCTTGACCTTGACAATTCCCCATACTGGCAGTCCTCGACTTACGAACGCGTTCCGTTCCTGAGCCCCGTTGGCAAGTCCCGTTGGTAAGTCGAACAATTCGTAAGTCGTAACACAATAATGCACTGCATTTAAATGCACGTAGGGTTAGAAAATGTGTTTACGGTTCAAGAACAAAGGGAAGCATTGTTAAAAACATGAGAAGAAATATTGGACATTTGCATGTAATGCTGTAATAAATATTGTACGGTAAATAAAACATTAAATAAAGTAACATGAATAGAAAATTTAAAATCTGTTTTATTTTAACTTACCTTGAGTCCCGATGCTGGCTTGCTTGTCAGAAGGAGCGTTATGAGTCCCCACAATTGCACACATACACGGGAGCACGCACGCACGCACACACACACACAGACACACACTAATGACAACGATCCCCCCCGTATAGCCTTAACAAACTTTTGGGACAAGTGCTGTTAGTGAGCAGCGCCTATGAAGGCCGGCACGGCACACGAGGGGGTGGGTGGTCAGCACCACGCCCGGCCGCCTTTGTCTCCCTAGTGGCAAAGTTTACACACTGCACTCGGTACTCATTTTAGGCCGAGTCGACCATGGGGAGGACCAAGACCGGTTCATGTAACCGTCACTGGTGTTGGCCGTGAGCGGGAATTAAACTCGTGTCGCCGGGTTCGTAGTGCAGCGCGCTAACCGCTACATTACCGCTCCCCAAAAACACACACACGGGGGCACGCACGCACACGCGCGCACTCACTTTCATACATACACACACACGGGGGCACGCACGCACACACACGCGCATACTCACTTCCATACACACACGTGTCCGCGCACACGCACTCACTCACTGCACGAGGCTGATCGCTCCACTGAACAAAATAGTCCCACGGTTCAGTTTGCAAGTGCGAGTTTGCATTTTAAGTTGATGTCAACAAACATTTCATGGAAGCTGGTTCGTAAGTGCGGGTGTTCGTAAGTCAAATGTTCGCAAGTCGAGGACAGCCTGTATATCATGTTCCAAGAATTGGGTAAATAACAACCACACAGCCAGTGATAGAGGACTACCTGGCCATTTTGCTCAAGAAGTAGCAAGACCTCAGGGTAATAAATAAAAGCCAGCCAACTATTTAGATAAGCAAGACAGATTAATTGACCAGTAGTGCTCTAAGAGGCAGCCTGGTCTAGAGTCGTACTAACCGAATGGGGTGGATGTCCAGTCAGACACAGCATATAATTAAGGAGTGGGTGTTTTGTGTGTTTTGCGTGTGTGTGTGTGTTTGCTCTACAACCGCAGTGACCAGGGTTCAATTCCCGGTCATGCACGACATTAAAAGTGTCATGCGATCACCTCGGCCTCAAACGAACACCGGCTGCAGTGCGTGTGAACGTCAGCACGGGGGAGACAAAGGTGGCTGTGTGTGGTGTTGTCCACAGCACCATCCCCCCTCCACAACTTTAAGAGATGGTGTGGCACTGTCTACCCCACCCCACCTCCCCCCCAACCCATAAACAAGATTTTTTTTTTATATTTAAATTTTACCAGGCAAGGCCCCATTGAGCTATTTATCTATTTTTCAGAAGCGGCCAGGCCACAAATGATAACTCAACGAAGTGGCTTTTCTCGTGGAAATTTACAGCAGCTAAATACTCTTAAACACGTGCTTCTAAACGTAGAGGTGAACCCCAGAGGAACCGGAGAAAAATCCACGTGACCACGGGGAGAACGTGCAAACTCAAAATATTGAGCAGGCGTCAGGGTCGGGATCAAACCCACGTCCTCCTGTATACCAGGCGAGGTAGTTAACATTTCACCCCCGTGGCGACTGACGTTTTAGGCAATGGCACCTTTTTTCCGAGCAGTTTTGCTCGAAGTCTGGAAACTTGTACCGTGATGTCAACTCATGTAGGCACGCATGTTTCACTTGTGTTTGACTGGCGGTCTACTAATGCGTCAATTGAAAACGGCTCATTTGTCAACTCCCTTAAAATGCCCCGACAGTCTGCTCAGAGCTCCGGAGTGCAAAGTTCGATCTCGAATCGGCCAAGTCCTCTTTGTTCTGAAGGAGAAGGGCCCTTTTTGTTCAGGTAGTTGGAAAATACTTTCATTCTATTTAGCGACATTCAAGCCAAGTAGAATTGCATCCCAAAACGCTGCATGTACCAGTGGACTTCCCATTTGGTACAGATACACAGAGAGGCCAAGCAATGTCCAGCTGCGGTCAAGGGATGGCTCCCCATCGGTCAATACGTATGCTGATGATACGGTGAAATTGCCTCGCTCTAAGAGTAGTTGGAAACTCTGCTGCTGAACCTGGAGCATGCCACTAAGAGGCAGATTAATACCATCAGCTCCACTAAAACAAAGCACTTGCCTGGGTATTTTATGTCATCAAACACCCCACCCCCTCAACTCTCCATGAGTAATGTGGCAGTTGTGGAGAAAATTGAGGCGTTTCCATACTTGGGCAGTGTGCTCATGACCAGATCCAGTTTGGCAGTGGAGGTTTCACTTTGAATCAGTTGAGTGGCATTGTCTGTTAATTGGCTGCATAACTGTATTTGGAAGCTGCTCAGCCTGTCACTCCATATGAATCTCCAGGTCTTCCCTGCAACATTCATGCCCTCTCTTCTCTATGCTTGCAAAACGTAGGCCTCGTGACAGAAATATCTATGCTCGTTTGAAACATTCAGGTTGGCCTGGGTTTATAACTGGTGAGATTGTGTGAGGAGCTCACGTATCCTTGAAAGATCTAGACACAGTCCCATCAGTGAGCTTCTCTGGCAGGCAAGGCTGCATTGTCATGTAGCCCACATGCCCATCCACCGCATGCCCAAGCATGTTTGGCTAAATAGAGTCGGCTAAAGGGGCACGGCACGGGCTAGAGAGGAGATGGGCTGTGTTACAGGAGGATTTTGAGCCGACTTGACTTGCAGGTGACCGGTATCAGTGGTGTCAAGATCGGCAGTTGGAAGCAGTCGCCCTCCAACAACAATAGAGGGTAGAGGAGCGATGCTCACAATGAGCGGAGCGCCAGGTGGCCAAAACGCAGAAGGTTGGCGCAGTAGGGAGCACAGTTGGTGCATCTGCCAGTCATCTCAGTCAGTCAACCCATAAAAGCTGGGTCTGTCCCGTGACCTCTTGCCAGCATGCGACAATTCACGTAGCCTCAAAGTGCACCTAGCCTGGCACAAGCGCCATGGTGATGTCACCACCACAATGGAGATTGTTGTTGTTATTGTCCCTGTGTGTGTGTGTTTCCGTGTGTGCTTCCGTGTGTTTTCCACACACGTGAGTGTCCCTCGGTGTGTGTGTGTAACAAGAGGCTAACATTGACAGCCTGCTGAGTGTAAACACTCGCACACGCGGCCAGGCAGCCGCACGCCACCAACACCAGCTCCGCGCGTGCACGACGATGGAATCTCTACGATAGCAGTGTGTGTGTGTGTACATGTGTGTGTGTACATGTGTGTGTACATGTGTGTGAACATGTGTTTGGTGCAGGGAGCGGTAGTGTAGCGGTTAGCGCGCTGCGCTACAAACTTGGCGACCCGGGTTCGATTTCCACTCACGGCCAACACCAGTGACGATTATCTGAACCGGTCCTGGGCCTCCCCTAGGTCGACTCAGCCTCAAATGAGTACCTGGTGCGATGTGTAAACATCGCCACTAGGGAGACAAAGGCGGCCGGGCGTGGTGTTGGCCACCCACCCCCTTGTGTGCCGTGCCGGCCTTTACTGGTGCTCGCTAACAGCACTTGCCCCTACAGTCTGTTAAGGCTACACGGGGGATCTTTGTCTTTGTACATGTGTTTGGTGCAGGGAGCGGTGGTGCAGCGGTTAGCGCACTGCGTTACATTCCCGGCGACTCGAGTTCGATGCTCGCTCATGGCCAACACCAGTGAAGATTATCCAAACCGGTCCTAGGCCTCCCCTAGGTCGACTCGGCCTCAGATGAGTACCCGGTGCGGTGTGTAAACATCGCTACTTGAGAAACAAAGGCGGCTGGGCGTGGTGCTGGCCACCCACCCCCTCGTGTGCCGTGTCGGCCTTCAAAGGTGCTCGCTCACAGCACTTGCCCCAAATGTCTGCCAAGGCTACGAAGGGGATCTGTGTTGTTGTTGTTGTTTATGTAGCCAGCATTATCCTTCCCCACTTTGACTTTGTTAACTCTTCACCGTTGCTGTTCATGGGACGGTGGTTTACACAACACGGTGTGAACCTGGAGTTTCAGTCCTGGCATTGGCTAACGTCAGTGGCAAGTGGTTTAACTGATAATGGCTTTCTCGAGGCCGATTCAGTCTCAAATGAGAACCATGTCTTGGGTGTGAACATCAGCAACAGGCGGCTACGGCTCGAGCCACACCATCTCCTTGTGCACCATGCTACCCTTGATTGGTGCTCGCTCACAGCTCTTTGTCCCCTTCGTCTGTAACAGCGGTGACCAAATGGCATCTCCCGGGCCGCATGCGGCTCTTTAATCCACCACACACGTGGTTCTATCGAAGGGACGTAACGTAGAATGTACTATCACAGTAGCAAAGACTAATGAATGTCTCTCATGCTGCGCAGAAAACTGTCAATATTAATAAACATTTATAGTAACATTTGGCTCCTTGCAGAACTCACGGGGTACTTTGTGTCTGTTACAGGTTGGCCACCCCGAGTCTATAAAAGAGAAACGGAGGACCTTTGTGTGCATGCACACTATGCACTCCACGTGGGGAGTGGCAGTGTGGCATTTACTGCACTGCGAACCTCAAAAACGAGGTGCGATTCCTGGCGATGACAGCAACATCTATGCCAAGTGATTTATGAACGTGGCCTGGGTGTCCCCCTGGTTAACTCAGCCTCACAAGAGCACTCCTTGCAGTGCAATGGCAGAGTGAAAAACAGAGCGCGCACACTGATTACAGCACTCTCCCGACTCCCCAGCCGGTGAGGCTGAGCACTTGACCTCACACAGTCAGAAGGTCGCAAGTTCAAATCCCAATCAGGGGTCGGACTCGGCCCATCGCCATTCTTTCAAAGTCAACAACCTCAGTAGCCGCCTTGTGAGAAGTCAACGGTGACTGATTACTATTCAGACTCGGCCCTGCCATAGGTATGTGGAGATGAGCACGCCCCGAGCTCGCCTGACCAGCATTGGCGAACAAACAGCGATTGCATAAGCCAGCTGCTGGCGGTTGCGAGACTCGTGTTCATGTGCGGGTTTAATTTTACTGGGCGCAGGTTTAACAGTGGAACTCATAAATATACGGCAGGCATGTCCTACGTGCAACTAGCATGGAACACTGCTCTAATTGGATTGAAAAAA